TGAGTACATTCCTTATCTGCAGATATCCGAATCATGATCGAGATATCATTGATGCTCCGGGCGGGATTGTTGCTGATCCTACTCATCAGGCAAGCTACGACCCACGCCGTGTGTTCCGCTTCTCTCTCCCCAAGTTCGAAGTTGGTCCAAAGACCCGAGCTATCGGCACCTATCTATCTGGGGGTCTCGTAAGTCTCTACAGTTACCTCTGTAAATGATATACATTTGACGCTCGATAACCGCAGTTTGCCTTATCCTATTTCCTCCTCTTCGATGCAGCAACCCTCTCATCCCATGCCACTCCACCTCCCGATGCACCGTACGATGTCGTGCCGGTTCACATGAGCTTTGTCGACTGGGTCCCTGCAATTTGTTCTACCCGTAAGTATATCATCATCATATGACTGGCACTGTCCGATCGTTGGCGTTGTCTACTCCCTTTATCTGACAAAAGCACAGTTGGTTTCCTCGTTACTTCCCTTCTTGACAAGTCGCACTTACAATCCGCTTTCGCGCAAGATGCATGGGGTAGCGAAGGACCTGCAGCATGGCGTGCAAGAGTGGTACTATTTCTTGGCGTGGCATTGATGGCGGGTGGCTTGGCTGGATCGCTTGTCAGTTGCTAGATCATCATATTGGATGAACAACAACTGACATATACCAGACCGTCCTGATTCTCAAGTACATCATCCCCGATTACACAGGATATATCTACTATGGAGGCGCAAATGTGGCTATGAATGGCGGTATTATGATCTCGTGAGTCTAAGCTTCTGTGATTAGAGCCCGAATTGTGCTGATGAATTGCAGAGCTATGGTGCTCTGGATTTCGCAATCGGGAAGCGACGAATACGAGTATCAACTCACAGTCTAGCGAAATCGTCGAATGTCATTGTAAGAGATGCAGAATATGAGAATGATCGTGTGACGTGTCTCAACTACGCGGTGTCACTTGCAACCACACATTGATACGACTAATGATGCCGCATCGACTAATCGGATCCCTAGAACCACAGCAATAATACGCGTAGCGTCTGCATCCTAGCAGTCTTTCTGCAAGCTGGAATGAGTAGGAGGCGGGTCTTGTATAGTGACCCATAACCCGAATTTAGAGGTGCTGTCCTTCGCCGTTGCAGATTTGCCAATGCTCACTTGAGCTTTGGGTTCCCGGCTTACATGTCGTGTATAATGTGTTTGAACGGTCTGCCAGCATATTCCATCTTCGTCACTGCTGTTGCAAAGATAGATGTGACTTGATGACGTGTCATTTTTCTCGGCCACTCTGTGTACATGAGCCTCGAGACGCGACAGAAGTCTCAAGATTGTTATTGAAAACATAACTCAGCCATTGTCATGCCTGCCATGGCTACTCCGGCCCATACAGGACGGCCGATGGCCCCTCTGCCTCACACTTTAAGCTCCCAAAACGGTACTGCTCCCCGAAAAGCTCCATCACCGTACGCGCCCGACCCACGCGAACTTCAACCAGGACCTAGAAATCGTTTCTTCCTCTCCTTACGGTCTGGTATCGAATCCGAGGTTGATTGGGCGCTCCCTCGATTAGTTGTAGCTGCTTTCGATCATCCCGAACAGTTTTCTCTGGATTCATGGCCTGATGCACTTGGAGCCCTGATCGAATGGCCAAGGAAGTGGTTGGAGGATCTAGAGCGTGAAGCGGCTTTACTGGAAGCTCGAAAAGGTCAAAAAGGTGCTGCAAAAGAAGCACTGGCAATCATACCTGAATGGACACGAGATCCCAATGTCACAGCTCGAGCTACCAACAGCCTACTCGTACTTCGCAATGCCAGCTTCTCTGGCACAAATATAAAGCTCATCTGTCGTTCTGCGTTTCTCAACTTCGTGTCGCGGTTCTTTGCTTTACCTCTCGAGCTTATCCTGGAAGTTCTGCTACGAGATCCAGAGCCTGTACAACATCTGCTCGTGGTTCTGCAGAGCATCTTTCCGCACGTTGCGCCTACACCTCGCCTGACGACGATATTCGGCACAATACTGCCAACCATAGCTGTTGAGACTCGCGACTTTGGGATCCTCAATCTACTTCTCCCACTGATCATATCTGGCTATATCTGGCCTTCTCTTCCACCACCCCCAGACGACTTGGCACCCTTCCTGCTCACCTTGCTCACTCTGACACCTCCCGCACCATTACTCGACCTCACACTGGACCTCCTCATCTCCCTGACTCAACAACCCACCTACGCCCGGATGATCCTCTCATATCCCAACGTCGCAGCGTATCTCCGGAATATCGTCATGCTCCTCGAATATGGTGCACGGCAAACACAGGCGAGTTGGGAAGCGCCCCCGGCATTCACGGGTGTCACGGTGCCCAATCCTGCGGGAGGTGCAGCTCAGGCTGAAGCAGCTAGTCGGCGCAGGGCGTTGGAACGTGATTCAGCCCAGCGTCAGTTAAGGTTGACTGGAACGCTGGCTTCGAACCCCGAGACAGCAGATCATGCGCCAAATATCAGCCCATCTATTCGAGCAAAGCTGTATGCAATGAAGGAGCCCGCACGATCCATCAATTGGTGAGTATATTTCCTAGTGACTCCACTGACAGGTAGGATGCACGAGACATTCACGTATTCAGCATCATCCCAACTCCTTCAAGTCACATTCTGGCACGCATACCGTAATTTCTTCTCACACCCCAGCACGGTTGAACAGCTTCTGTCGGCTTCCGAGGTGATAAAAAATGTCACCATCGCTTTTCCCGGTGCGAGTGCCAAGATCTGGACAGACGAAACTGGAACCAACAAGTTTGTCATTGCCGGGATGGGCTTTAGGAAGGGGTCAGACGAAAGTGATAGGTTCAATTGCATGTGGCGAGGTTGTTCCTTGCCCCGGGGTTGTTTGAATCCCGTGGAATTGTTACAACATGTGCAAACATTTCACCTTTCTCCGACACCTGCTTCGTGCGCATGGGCGACATGTCAACATTCAACTTTTAACCTCACTCATCTCCTCACTCATCTTCCCCTCTCGCAGCCTCCGACAATCCCTGACGACGTGACGATCGAAGCTTCATTCCCACCTCAACGCCTATTACAGCCAGTCATCACTACTCGACCAGTCCCACCATTATCACGGGCATTCAAACTATCGTTCCAGGGCTACGTGACTCCCTCAGATAATCGGCGGAATCCAACTGGCTGTGCATTTCTCGCAGCACTTGTCCTGCGTAATCTGGCAAAGACGCTCAAAGCCGAAATCGCAGTCTCGCTTCCGCCAGATCATGGCTTGACACAAGAAGCCAAACAGGAGAAGAAGCGGCATTTACTAGAAGAACGATTCGGATTACCAATTCCTGACTCGGTGTTGAAAGAGGAGGAAGAAGAGGAGCGTGTGGCGGATGGCGGACAAGGAGATGTGGATGGAGGTATGACGGCCAAGAATCGAGAGAGGGCCAGACAGGCTTTTGCAGCACTTGAAGAAAGAATACTGCAGGTTGTAGAGAAAAACGTCTCGGGTCTGGCTGTTTATCTCGGCGAGGCTTTCGGATGGTGAATGTAAGCGGATTAGTAGTGACGATATAAGACTCGCAGCAGCAGCAGTCTTGACGACTAATAATGCGTCCTGACATAGTCGATAGGTCAGACATGCATAATCAACCAAATACACTGGCCAATACGCTGTCCATTCCAGAACCTTTGAATCCACCACTGGCCTTATCAACGACCTGTCTCTGTTTATAAGTCTTATCTCGTCCCTTGTTATCCATCGAGTCCTTTGCGTCACCCTCTTTGTGCGTAGCGAGTTCACCACCTTTCTTCGCTCTGCGTTTATCGAGTACTCTTGCCAACTCGACATTCTTGAGATACTCGCCCTGCTCAGTCTTTGATTTAGCAATCTCGGCACGTAGTCGACTTTGATGTGCTTGTCGTTCATACGCTACGAAGAGATGCGTTAGCTGCCATCCCCTTGATCTCAATGGGTCCAAGTCTAGATAAATGACAGAGGAGTAGACGCAGTAAAGGGACGAGGGGGATAGGGAATGAAATATTCAGAGTAAAGTAAAATAGGACATGACATACCGACTTGTTCACCCAACATCTCCCATTTAAATCCACTCAGATATTTCATAGTCCAAATATCATCTCTCCATCTATCACCTGGTCTGCCACCGATGACTTGAGCATTCAACATGTTCGCTATTGTTTTCGCAACTGATTTATCAAGGAATTCAACCCATGCTTCTGTAAAGTCTGCAGAACGATGTTTTTCCTTTTTCTTCTTGTTGCTGTTTGATACTGAAGGATCGTATCCTGTTGGGGCTAATGACAAGATCAGTATAAGAGCTTATTATATATATATAAATGAGGATGATGAAAGAAATCAAATAAAAGACATGGACTTGGGACCAATTTGACCAATGTAAAAATAGAGAAGAGACATAAAACTGAGGAAGGCTCACCATCACGACGTTGAGCGTAAACTTTCCCAATCTCTCCCCAACGAGCCATGAGATGTCGAACTTTCTGAGGAGTCATGCCAGGAGGAAGACGAGAAATGTATACTATCCCAGGCGATGCTGCAGCTCGACGTTTCTTCTTGGTTGTCGCACGCGCTGAAGTAGGTTGAACGGTAGACGATTCAGCTTTAGCTTCCATTGTCGTATCGGGTCCATCCTCATCCTCCGACAAAAGGCGCTTAGAGCTCGAGCCAGACGCCATACTTGTGACTTTGTACAGATAATACAAGCTGCAAATGAAATTGAAAATTATATATACGGGATTTTCCAAGTGTTCGAAGAAAAGCGTACTTGATGGAAAATGGAAAATTCTGGTAGAGGTCCAACTCGTGCAATCATGAAACGTGCTGCCACAAAAACCTCATCCCTCAGTCTGCCTGCATCTAGCTTCTGTGAACCCAATATCAGGCTGAACCTGACAGCTAGGCATTGATTAACCAATGCATTGCTCTACCAAAAAGACACACCCACTATCATCCACTCGCTCTCGCTCGCCCAAAAAAAGATATTCCGCATAAGGGAATCGAACCCTTCTCTTCCGCGTCGCCAACCAAAGATATGAGAGGCAGATATACTAGCCGATATACTAATGCGGAGTTAAGAATTGAAATTACAAACAAAATCTATATGCCGCACAGAATTGCTCAAACCGTTCGCGTTCAAGAGTACTAATTGTGCTTTAATTAACTGCTAACTTCTATGCATCTCACGTCTCTACAGGTCTTTCAGATAATGGGCGAGTTTCCTCGTCCCTCCAGTTGTCCAAGGGATGTCAATCACCAATTCGCGTCGGAATCCTACTCGTTCTGCGAGCGCCAGTGAAGCCAAATTGTCCAACTCGATACCCTGCCATCTTCAGCCGGACTCTCCATCTACACTAATTTTGCCACGCACCGCTGTAAGCTGCCCGACGCCCATCCAAGGCTTGATCCACTCGTCTATGGCTGTTTTCAAGGAGGAACTCATGATTCCCTTGCCTTGATACGCTGGATGTAGCTTATAGCCGACAATCCAGGTCTGTTCCTTCCTCGGAAGCGCCAGCATCTGCTCCTTAGATATCCCTCTCGGATCATGTTCAAACGGCCGCAAGGAGAGCAAACCAATTACCTCGCCATCCGAATTGCGGATGCTTTGGAATGGATATCCAAATGCGAACGTGTGTGGTGTTTCGGGATCCTTCAGGGCGAATTTCAACGCCTCTATGGTTTCCCGAACTTCGGACATGTTCTTCTTGACAAAATCGTCCGAACTGCTTTCTATCAGTTTTCTGCTCCCATCGCAGTACAGTAGAGACATACGGTATAGTATACATGCGAGCAGCGATCATAGGTTCTCTTTGAAGTTTGGCCTACTAGAATGTCAGCTCAGCTGCTGCAAGACCCCACTCCACCCCACGGGTCACGAGTAGGAAAAGTGAGGGCCCACTATCGACGCTTCATCTCCGTCCCGAAGTGGAGTCAGCCGTATGCCTGGCACAGCAACGATGTCAATGTATGGCTCATCGAGCTTCTCGTCCCATTGAACAGCGTTGGACGTCATGATGTAAAGAGTAGAGAAACTGGTTCGCTCCCATGATATATGTGTTAGATATATAGTCTTGCCTGTGGCTTCCACAGTTCTACAGAAACCACATGAACATCGGATTTGTCCTGCCTGGCGGAGCCCGGAACAACTTTGAATGGCAAGCTGCCTGTTTTTTTCTTTTTTTTTCAGGGCAAGCGTTCGGCGGTTTCGTCTCAATTCACCAAAAGTAGCCATTTTAGTCTTTTCAACGACGTTCAGCCAAAGTCGACAAAACCTCGTAGCAAACTGCTGGATTCAAAATTGTCGCTACGTCCATCTAGACGTCATCGTCACTGTGCATAGCCAAATCAAAGGAACGCTCAGGCCGTTGATCGCCGACACAACCGGTGGGCACGTCCCCGTTGATTAGGGCTACCAACTCCTTCCTGGTCACACTGTCCAATCAGGCTTTAAATCGTCAATCGAGGACTCGATCGACAACATCGGCAACGGACTCAGAGACAAGCTTGCATACATTATACCATCGCGCTCGAGATAGTCACAAGAGGCTCTGCTGGGCTTTCGATCTATTTCCCAGCAGAGGCAGGCCAGCCAGCCGCCTTTTTGTTTTCTCCTCCGAGCCCAACCGCAATCTTTTCAGCTAATCGCCTTGCAACTATTCCTGCAGCACGAACATGGCAACTCCGCGGTCCGCATTACCTAGCCCGGCGCCTGCGATAGGCGGTCAAGATATGTCCAACGTCGACTTCCTTTCCTTCATGGGTCTAGATGCGGCTCAATCCGACAGTACGTCCCCGACGCAGGTGCCTACTCCCTCTCAATTCCCCACATTCGAAACTGCGTCAATGTCCAATGGAAACCAGCAAGAGGCAGGTCCCAGCTCAAACTACGCATCCTCCGCCCGTGGATCATCGGCAGGATCAAGACGAGGTTCGACCTCGTTAGACGGAGGTCAAATTCAGCGGACACGTTCAAACTCTGGGAGGTCCCGTCTTCGCGGCCGAACAATCAAGCAGGCGGCTGGACGAGAACCCTCTGCGAGGAACCAGCCTGGAGATACGATGGAGGTGGACCATTCTATACAGCATCAAGAGTCATTCTCAAATATGACTGGTTTCGAAGATTTGACAGATTTGGAAGGCTTCGGGAGTGGAGAAGGGTTTGATGCCATGCAGGCTGGCACGTTGCAGCAACAGGTGGGTCATCACGATCGTGCATCGAACTGACAAGGTAGCTTGAGGCTATACATATGCAATCCCCACTTTTGTTCGGTGACCCCAACAATCCTCTATCGTCGTACAATTCCATGGCGCAGATGTACTTGACCTCACCGCCTGTGCAACAGCAACAAATGCAGGGATCCGAGGACATGAATCGCTTGGACGCTCACCAGAACACTACCAATGACAACGGGCTGCGAGAAAAGTGGAACGCTCTCGCTTCTTCTGCCGCTGCTCGCGGAGTCTTAACTCCAGGTGTGTTTCACCTCTTGCTGTCGAATGTCTGCTGATCACACGAAGCACCGAGTGGGGATATGTTCCCTCATTACCGTTCTGACATGATGAGTCCCATGGAGCTTGAGATGCTTGCTCGAGCTGAGGGCCTGGAGTCTAACACGGATGTACGCTTCTTCCTCCTTTGAGCTGATTTGGCTGATAGGCTATCTTCGCAGTTCCACAACATGTTGCCGCTCCTCTCGCCCGCACTGTCACAACCGGCGAACTCTACGTTCACGTCACCTGCATTCCCCAGCGATCAGATGAACGCTGCCTCTGGACAGCTTGTCGGTTCGAATCAAAGTCCTCTTGAACAATTACAGGAACAGCAACGTCAATTCCAGGAGCAGCTCCAGGTTCTCCAAGAACAACAGCGACAGCTTCAGTATACCGCTGCCGCCGTAGCTGCAGCGTCCACTCACACCTCTCCATACATCTCGAGTAATGGACAAATTAGACCTGCAACTACTCCTGGCACCAATGGACATCATTCCGTCGGTGCTACACCTTCGCCAGGGTATTTTTCCCCTCTCACATCGCCAGCACTGGAAGCATCTTCCAGAGCCGCTCACTTCAACCATCGACACAGCTATTCACCAGCAGTCAACCATGGACAAAGGCCTCCTCATCCGTATTCGTCTCCCGCTCTGAACCCCATCGGTTCTTCTGGAGGGGCCAATCAAACTCTCTCTCCCGCCCTTGAGCCTCAAAACCGCACAGATATGGCCGATCCTGACTACCTTCGAGCACTCGTTGGGTACCTTGATGGCACTACCCAGACAGATCCTACGCAACAAACCTATGCTTCGCCGAGTGTCAATGCTGCTAATTCGATCTCGTCTCCCGCGACTGGACCATCCATAGGAGCGGGGCCTCATCGTCATCCGCTTCCCTCCAAGACCCGTCCCAGCCCGATGATGAAACCCACTCACCGGTCTCATACGCGCCAACCTTCGGCTAATACGTCGCTACCGAATTCGCCCGTCAATGTCATGGGAAAGTATTCTCAGCCTGTCATACCAGGAAGCGGCTTCTTACCTCCGGCTGTCATTGATCACCGTGGGGTGCAGCAGGCAATGCAGCAAAACCTCTCGACAAGCTCGACACCAAGTCCAGTTGATTTGAGTCAGATCATGCCTCCTCCCCCTGTCCCGTTGCAGCAAAATGGCCAGACGAAAGGGATTGTACCCATGACGCCGGCGAGTCTGATGAATCTGGTTGGCGGAAGCGCATCAGCACCTCTGACGGGAATCCCGGATCGGGAGAACAATTCGACGCCTGTGCAGGCACCCAGGAGACAGTCGACAGTGAAACCCGCCCCTGCCAAGCAAAAAGTTACAGCACCGGTCGGGAAGCGACAGACTAGTAAGCTTGTGCCTACGGCTGCTGGCAAGAGAGCGTTAGCAATGCGTCCTCCGGGCGTTGGCGTGAGGTCTGGTGAGTCGTCTAGTCATCTCAATGGATCGAGGCTCATGTCACATAGCACTCAAAGCTGCCGCAGCGGCTCAGCTGCTTCCTCTTCCGGAAGGCGAGACGCGCAAGACGTCACATAAAGCTGCAGAGCAGAAGCGGCGGGACTCGCTCAAAGCTGGTTTCGATGAACTCCGATTGTTACTTCCACCTATCAACACCGAGGCACTCGATCCAGAATCCGGCGAACCAATCCCAGGATCTTCCGCACCGCGTCTCTTGCCAAAGTCGTCGCTTGTACCTGATGACAATCCAAACCGCGGTGTATCGAAGGTGGCTCTCCTCAGATTTTCCAACGAGTACATTGTCCGCCTACACGACAAGATAGACAAGCGCGACGGGTACATTGATAAGCTACGATCCGAGGTTGTGCGCCTGAGAGGGTTAGGTGATCCGGACGAGGTGGATAGCGAGATCAAAGGCGATGAGGGAGAAGATCTGCTAGAGATGGATATGCTAGATGGAGAAGAAGAGGATTTCATGGGTGTAGAGGATGAAGAAGAGAATGATGATGAGGATATGGAGTTGGGAGAGTATGAAGATGAGGGACCAGGGAAGAGAGCACGTGCAAAGAGCCTGAGTGGCAATGGAGTCAAGAAAAGCCCAGCTTTAGGTCCAACAGTTGGGCGTAGTAAACCTATCATTGCTAGGAATGGGAGCTCGGGCACAGTCACTGGCAGTAGAAGGAGGAGTGGGCTTGCTGAAGAGTAGTGATGGGACTTGAGTTTTGGTACTTGTTTAGCAGGTTTAGACTACGCATACAGTGTTTTTGATACATGCAGCGCCGTGTCATAGTTTTACTACCTAGTCTACGTCTCTCATCATACCCCAAGATGGACAGATCTCACCCTTGAGATTGACCTCCTCGAAGAGACAGACTTTGAAACCGTGCTTCTCATAGAACTTGACCTACACAATCGCCTCGTGAGCTGCTACACCTAACCAAGAGGGAATTGCTGTCTCACGTTCTCTAGTTTCTGTGTTCCAAGTATCAATGGCACTTGTTCTCGTCGTGCTTCTTCCACAAGCACATTTATCAATGCCTTGCCCAGTCCTTTGCCCTGCACTCGAGGTGATACTGCCAGTAAGTTGACCCATATAGATGC